TGGAGATTACATCCCTGAACCTGGAATTTTGATGTCAGTCTGGCGGTTGAAAAAACGGCGTGCACCGCCTAGGCTTACCAGATAAAGAGGTGCCTAGTGCATGCCCCCCCCCACCCGCGAGCCTGGTCCGGCGAGAACCCGGCGTGCTCCGTCCCGGCTTTGTAGGGATGCGAGGTTAACGGTTTAACGACTACGGCATGCACGACTATGAGAACACCCCCTCCCCCGATCTTCCATGTGCTGTGTTCAGCCCCCCGGAGGTTACTTTCCTGTTTCCAGCCGTGCAAGAGGGCTCTTTCCGACGAGATCCGGCTGTCCACAGCAGTACAGTCCAGGCCTTGACTCTGACAAACAGAACCCCCCCCCCCCCAAACCCATTNCCAGCCGTGCAAGAGGGCTCCTTCCGACAAGCTCCGGCTACGGTGCAAGCCCTGGCTCGCGTCAGGCCGGAACCGAAGGCGGACCCGGTGGACGTAGCACGGGAGATGGACATTCTCGTGCCCGGGGCCGTCGCGAACGCCATCCGCATGGACGACCACAAGGGCCGCGGCGGATCCGCGGTGCTCCAGGTGCGCGGCGGGTGTTGTATCTGGTCGGAATGCGGCGGGATGGGGTGTGCCCGTGTCGGGTGCCGCGGGGTACATGCCATACCATTTTTTTTTTGTGCGGAATGCGGCGGGATTCGTTTTTTTCGTTGAGGGTTCGGCGGAGTATGTTTGTGTGCGGGTTGGGACGGGACAATAAAGGAGATGTAGGAGCCTGTTCATCGGGTATCAGCCATCTGTTGGGATTGTTTGTGTGTCGTCCAGCGGAATACTTGGCTGGTCGGAATGCGGCGGGATAGTGTTGATATATGTATGGCACTATCATATGGACTGGATAAACAAACCAAAACAAAACAAAACAAAACCGGAGTTCTGTCTTCAGATGAGTTTTTACTTCAAATGCGGAATATGGCGTCCAGCGCGTGCATGTGGCATGAGACTCTCATGTTTCCCTTCGCGTGGTGCGTGATGTAACCGTTGGCATTGTACTGCTGTCCACCGTCTCTTTTGCGTGCGCAGGAATCACTGGAGCGGTTGATGAGGGACGCGCAGATGAACGGGATCAGGCAGATCCCCCGCGAGCCCGCGCCAAAGCCCCAGGCCCCGCCGTCGCCCCCGAAAGAGGAAGGGAAGGAGGACTACCCCTACAGGTGTCTTGAATATTTGTTCTTTTTTTTGTAGTTTTTCAATTTTGGGCAGACGTGAAAATCATGAGTTAAATACAACTAATCAAATGACAGTAATCGTTGGGGATGTTTTGGGTTTGAATTTCGGTATTTGCTGTTTTTGAGTTTTGGTTTGGGGCAGGGGGACACATGCCCGTACAACGGAAACAACACACTAGCCTCGGCCGAATTTTTTATCAAGAATTGAGGTTGTAACGTGTTTATTTTTTCTTTACCGCAGGCACATCCCGCTGTACACGGCGAACGTTCGGATTGGGCATCGTACGGGCCTGCACATGACCAACTTCGAGCTGCTCGAGGTCAGTGTGTTGTTGCTGCGGCTGCTGCTTCTGCGGCTGCTGCTGCTGCTGCGGCTGCTGTCGCTGCTCCTGTTGTGTAGAGCGAATCGTAATGCGTACCATGTCCGAATCGAATGCGTACAATGTCCCATGCGACAGGTTAGATAAAGAGTCAAGCGGTATGCCCTGCCGTGGCTGTCAGGTCTTATGCAGGTCGCTCTTGGCCGGCCGACTCGTCACGTGTTGGTGTTTCAAGTAGAAAATCTGCATTTTCGGAGGGGGAGTGGTTTGCTGCATATGCGTATCACAGCGACGACGGGAGTTTGGATACCGTGGAGAAATACAACGATTTAAGTGGCTTGGGTCGACACGCTGAACACACGGGTATTATGTGGTCCTTGCTGCCTCCCGTCATACTTGGCTGTATCGTACGATACTTTGCTGCTGCTGGTGATAATGACGGTGATGCTCATGCTACAGCTGCTGCTGATGATGATAATGCTGACGATGGTATTACTGATGATGATGATAGTGATTATCATGCTCATGCTGCTGTTGTTTTCGATTGTCACGCCCATGCTACTGCTACTGCGGCTGATGATATTGACGGTGATGCTCATGCTACAGCTGCTGATGATGATGATAATGCCGACGATGTTGTTACTCCTGTTGTTACGCAGGCTCTCAAGAGGGGCACGAAGCTGCTGAAGGTGACGAAGAGCCATTTCAGCAAGAGGAGGACCGTGGTGAAGTGGGTCAGCGTGAGCGACGACCTGACCAAGGTGGTGATTATGCTTTCGTTTTTGATCGCAATACGCGTATTCTACCATATGCTGTGGCACCATGGCGCCCTATCTATGTACTTGACGTCCCACGAGAGCCTTGGGGCCATGTTGCTGTAGAAGAGGAACTGCGTCACATTCGTTTCATCATTAGAGTCGTGCGTGATGGAAGAACGACTTTGAAACAAGTTGGGAGCGTCGTCTTCGTTCTGCTGAGGCGATGGAAGCGTTGGAACCATGTTTATAGCGTTTTTGCAGAAGATGGATTCGTCACATCTGAGCTGTACATGGGTGTCGAAAGTCTTTGGAATACTTTGGGATGCATAACCCATAGAAGGCAGCTGACTGATTGCGGTCTACAGGTTGTGGGTACATATTTCCGAAAGTCACTCTGAACGAGGACTGCTGTGCTTTGCATGGGCTTGAACGTGAGGGCAGCGTAGGACATGGAATCGATTCTATCTACACAACAAGCGGCGGTGATACTGGGATTGTACTATATTTTTGTCCCGTGCCCATTCTTGCCCTTTCTTCCATACGGGATACACAAATTCCGCCCTCCTACTTCCCATACACGGGGCTCCTTTATGTCCTTCCCAAACCAAAGTGAAAACAGTAAAATTCCAACACGTTCCTGAGATCACTTAGAAATTACTTCACGCTTGCATTAGAGTTGAATAAGATGATCTATGGGCGCTGTCATTCTTTTTGTTTTAGACTCGCGCATCTTCTGTCGGGCTCCTGTATCTCGTTCGCAACTTCGTTTCCCACTTCGAGCCTTTCTCTGAACCCCCCCCCCCCCCCCCCCCCCCCCCCCCCCCCCCCCCCCCCCCC